TTCCCTACAGATACCAAGATTTTGGAAGATTTTTTCACCCTCTCTTCTTTCTCCTTTCCTAAATAGCCTAACTGCCTTCACCTGCTGCTGTCAGCAGGAGAAAGGAAGCCCACATACGGAGTTGTAATGCACTGAAGAGCAAATACAAAACGCTTACATTTGAAGACTTACCCGGAGGAGCAATTCAGCTAAAATACAACCAACAGCCCACATATCAACACCAACACCATACATTCTAGCACCAAACAATAGTTCTGGGGCTCGGTACCACCTGAAAAGAAAACACATATTGGGAAAATCACCTGGCTTTGCTCATGCCAAGTGCTGTATATTGTAGCAATGCAAGAACTACAAAGAGGATACTGCTACTGCCCATATATTTTCCAGACACTGAAGAGCTGTACTCCACCCTGCAAAGTGTTTTGTTTAAGAAAGACTGAACAAAATTGTGCATTCCTCACCACAGAGTCACATATAACCATAAATTAACTACAGTTTCAACTGAGCTGATTAACAAGCAACAGAACTACAAATGTGCAAAGGAAAAAGCATTTAACGGGCAGGCTGGCATGTTATAAACCAAAATTATCTTTAAAATTGATGTTGAAGAAATGACACAAAGATAGGATTCCTTCCAGCTTCCAAAAATCTCCATACCAACAGACCTAAGTATAGAAACTAGTTTTATGCAAAATGAACCTTGACAGCAGTTATTTAACACAGCTACTTCCACTGCCTAAGAACAATCAAGTTTAATGCCATGTTCTTATACACGCTACATTTGAAACTACTGTATCATTTCTGCCTTTTGAATAGAGGTGTTAAAACAAACCAGCTTTGACCGAGTAGTTAGCATTACTGCAGACAAAAGGAAATACCCTGCATATTTTGCAGCCCTGCTTTTTAAAGCATATCTTAAATAAGCATGCTGTAAATAACACTAATAATTATTTTAATTGGTTCAAGCTTTTGTTTCATAATAGGTAATGTGACTAGCTACAGAAAAGATTCTAGGTCTCAAGATTAACAGAAGGTAACAGCTGTCTTGCTCTGAAAGCCAGGCTTATAGGCAGATACTTATTATTTCCATGCATTTCAAAAGAGTACCATACCCCAGAACAACTCCCATGATGGATACTCCAGTAGTTCTTACAGAAACTTTGCTGAACAATGCCTTCTTGAGTTTTCTTTATGAGGCTTTTGCCACTACAGCCATATCACAGCAGCTAGATGCCAAACTTTGCAGACATTGATTTGACATGACATATTTCAAGAAACAGTGCAAAACAGCTACACAATCACTACGTAACAATGTCTTACCTTGTTACTACCTGGTGTGTATAAACTCTATTTGGGCTTCCAAAAGATTTCGCCAAGCCAAAGTCAGCCAATTTTAAAACGCCATTTTCATCTAACAACAAATTATTTGGTTTAAGATCCTGTCAGTACAGAAAGCAAAAAATGAATTTAGTGAGTACTGATAAAAACAGACATATATTGAACCTCCTGGCACGTGTGCCATAACAGTATTCTAAAATGCAGACTTTTGATTCTATCCTAAGTCTACATTGTGAGGGGAAAAACCCCAGGAAATCAAGTATTCCATTACACATGAAAATTGTAGTGAAACACACCATTTGAATACTATATTTAAGCTGCAGAGTTTGAAAAAAACCCAAACTGCCTCTTCATAGGTTTTAGCTTTGCTGCAGGAACAGCAACTGCATAGGTGCCAAACAAATAATAAAAAGATCTTGCAAATGTTTCAAATAACTGTAGAGATCATGGAAATGACAGTTTAATACAGTGTGTTGCAGGTCGACCTCTGGCCAGCAGCGAAGCACCCACACAGCCATTTGCTCTCATCCCACCTCCCTCCCAATAGGATAGGGCAGAGAACAAGAACAAAAGCAAGAAAACTCTGGGAGCAATATAAAGGCAGGTAAAGGACAGTGGGAAAAAACCCAAGCAATAACACAATGGAAGTCATTCACCACCTTCCACAAGCAGACTGATGTCCAGAGTCTCCAAGCAACAGCCATCTTGGAAGCCAAAAAAACCCCTTCTACCCCAGTTTTTAATTACTGAGCATGGTGTTACATGGCATGCAATATCCCTCTCGCCAACTCGGGTCTGCTGTCCCAACTGCGTCTCCTCCCCACTTGTTGCCCAACCCCAGCCTACCCACTGGGGTGAGGGCAGAGAAGGAAAAGAGAAAGCCTTGAACAGTGCTTGGGCACTGTCAACACACCAATGTTTTGGCTGTTGCTATCACAACCGTTTTGGCCACAAATCCAGAATAGAGCACCTTACTGGCTGCTGCAAAGAAAGTTAAATCCATCCTAGCCAGACCCAGTTCAGTGCTAGTCAAAATCATGTGTAACTTGAGACACTTTTATATAAATATCTAAATGATAAACACATTATTAATTCTTAATATTCCTGGTACTGCTATTGTCTCTCCAAAACAGCTAGGATGAATGCTTACGGACTAAGAATGTCTGAACTTCAAAACTAACCTCAATAGACTGTAGACTCAAATTCTATCAAATGTGACTTTTGTTACAGCATAAAGGCTGTCAATTTAATACATGCTTACCCTGTGTAGAATCCAGTGCTGATGTAAATATTCTAATCCTTGAAGTGTCATCAGCATATATGCCTTGATGTGAGATTGCGTCAACACAATGCTAGTATCCTTTATAATAACCTGTAAAGTGTTAGTTTGATAACAAAGCTTACCATGCAAGACTAACTTACTTCCACTCTTTCAGCTCAAAAGTTATTTCATTCATTAAGACAAAGTCTGAACTAGCAGTCACATATTGTCTACCATTCTCACCCTTTTTCCAGAAAAACAGGTGTATTCTGGAGATTGGTAATGGAAATGGAGAGTCCAGATAGTGCACATCAACTTTGCATAATGAGCAAATGAGAAAATGGGTAGGAAACAGAAGTTTATTATTTTATCTCAGTTCTAGGTTGATACCCAAACTTACAAGACAAAGATCTACACATAGAAATGATAAATATGTCAGTAAACTTGAAATTATGTTCCCACTTATTCCTTCTTTCTCCATGCAAACTACACATCTAATCTTTGTAAATGCAACAGTTTCCTCATCTATTTCCAATGAGACCAGGAGGTAAGGCCACTTTACTATATTTTAATAAATCTACTTACATTTTCTACATTCAGTAACAGCCTTGCCTAAGCTTTAAGTTGTTTGAGACTTACAAAATAGCTAAGACTACACAAAATTTCATGTATGCAGCACATGGCCGATCACAACAGGGTGCAGTCCCAAATGGTGGCCCCACAATACAGTTAAATGCTCTGCATACCACAGCATTGTGTAGTACAAGAGTATTTCATTCCTCTTTTTGTACACTGTATCTTTCTCAGCTCTAAATGTTGCTTAGTTACTAGGTAAACAGAATAAATCCTCTAGAGACTCTACTCATTACTTTAACTTCTGTTAGCAAAAAACTGATCTAACCTTTTCAGTCTTACATTCATCTAGGTTTCAGCAAGCCTGTCAATGCTTTCTTTTAATATTTTAAATGCTAGTCCTAGTTCTTAACAGCATATGTGTGATGAGCTAGCTTAACAACTACGTGAATTTCAGTCCAGAGTAGATAAAATGTGCACATATACAGATGTGACATGAATTGCTGTCAAGGACAGACTTCCAAGATGAAGAATCTTGCACCAAAATATCTCATACAAAGACTTCCGCAAAGACAAATTGACTTAAAGTCTTTGAGAATGAAACATATAAGATGCTGATTTGCAAGTACCTCTAGCATTGCTACATTTCAAAGAATGGTTCAGGTGCGTGTGACTTCAGTACCACCTCATAACTTGGTATACTTCAGTATCACACTTACTTGAACATGTTTGATATTATGCTTAGCAATTGCATTCTGAGATGCTGATCTATGACTGAGGTTGTATGCTCTGACTGGAGTCTCAGAAAACTGACACTGTAAACATAATCTGTTTCTTGAAGATCACTCTGACAAGTATTTAAAAGTAAAGGCGTTATCAGCTGAGAACTCACAAAAATTGTCAAATTATTCAAACTACTTTTAAGACATGATCTAAATCAACTGACATAATGAAAATCACCTTTTTAACATGGGCAAATATAAGCCTGTTAAAGTAGTATTTTCAAAAAAACATTTGAAGATACTGAAATAAAAATCTTAAAAAAAAAAATCATACCTCAAGATCCGTTTCCATAAAATCAAACACCAAACTAATATTGGACTTGTGTCCAAATGCATCTAGAAGCTGTAAAACAAAATACATTATGATGAAGCATACTCTCACATTGTCAGTCTTCTAAAATTCTGCACCATTGTAGTCTGCATGTGGATTTTCACCTTGCTGAACTGGTTTATGTTTTTCAACTTGCTATACAAAAAATTCTTACTTAGTTTAGCTTCTTAACTCACTCTCCAAAAAAATCCCCATTAAGCATGGTACATTTTACACAATTGCCCCTTCTTCCTGGAGTTAGGGGGAAAAAAAAAAAAAAAGAAAGAATTAACTTTACTGTGTTAGCTACAATAGATAATCTAATGCACATCTTGTCCTCTCCCCAAACTTTAGTGTTCTACAAAAGTCCTACCCTTTCTTGAGACCAGACTAAGTTTTCCCATGGATTCAGCTCTGTATCTGCTTCCTGTAAGCATGTAGTATTTATAAATTCTAAGTGTCAGGCTTATTAACTTCCTTTCAAATACATTCTTCAGTGTGTATTCATCTTTGTAGCAAGCTTTCTAGGATAAATAAACCTCTTTGGAGAATATCCAAATGACCCTTTCTTGGGATGAAGCTGTATTTAATCTGAGAACACAAGAGTGATGCTGAGTAAGAACAACACATCATCTAGCATGGTATTCTAGTCTCATGATCAGGAAGGTAAGCTCTCTCTCCATGGTGTGGCTCATTCCTTACTGTCGCAGTATGATGACCACGTGAATTACCTGATTGCAAGATAGTTGTGAGCACAGTTTGTAACAGCAGTGATGTGCTCATGCTCTTCCTCTGCAGATGCCATTGTAACAGGAGATACTAGGCAGGTGAGCCTACAGGCTTGGCCACTTTTTGTAATTCATGCCCCTTACACTTCCAACCTCTCCAACAGTTTTATCAGGACTCCTAAGGGGGTACAACCTGCTTCTGGACCTGCTGGTCATGAATTTGTCTAATTCCTTTTTGAACTGCTGATGCTATTTGCTTCTGCAATGCCTGTGGCAACAAAATCAAAATTCACTACACTGTGTAAAGGTAGTACAATTTCCACACACCCCCTTCCCCTGACACAAATATGTTTTAAACACATCTCTTACTTCTATTAATGTATTAGGGGTTTGCAAATATCAGTTCTGCGTGCACTTTACCTACCACCTCAGTTTTGTAGGCCTCCCCATTACCAGCCTTTTCATCTCCAGAATGAGGAACCTCAGACTTTTTCATAAAGATGCTCCAGCCCTTTGCCATTTTAGTTGTCTTTCTCTGCACATTCTCTAACTTTGATAGCTAAAGCAACCACTTTGAAAGTAAGTTCACAATCCAGAAAAGAACCATATTTCCACTCTGAAAGAGTTAAATGAAATATCTGGAAAATTCATACTTGGTCTAATATTTATGGCAGACTTTCAAATTATAACTATTAGCTAATTTTAAAATATCTTTAGCTCCAGCTGGGTATCCACAGCTTTAAGTCAACCTAAATGCAACTGAAAAGATACAGGTTTTACTCCTGCCAACAGAGACTTCAGGTATCAGCTCTAAAACCTAATAAGCCACATGAATCCACTGTACCATTGCTTACAAAAGCCTGCTTTTGGCTGTCACCAGTTCAACGTGAAGCAAACAATCAGGTAAATAATGCACTGCACTCATTTGCAAGTCTATCAGAGAGATGCAAAATCAGGTAATCTAAATTTCCACAATTCTCCCCACCATTAATAACAACATAGCCCCAGGCTAAAAAGTAAGAGGATTTCAAAAGAAACTACTTTGTCTTTGTAATTGAAATAGGTGTTTTGCTGTAACAATTGTTTCATTGCCCAACTTGGGCTGGAAAAAATAGCTCTAATAAAATTAAGTAGTGTCTCCATGACCCAACTAACTCTAAATTTCAGTTTGAATCTGTACCAGAAATATTTGAGGACTGATTCCAGAAACAGCATTCATTTTACTTACACCAATAATATTTGGATGGCTTAGCTCCTGTAACAATTTTATTTCTCTGAGGGCTGTTCTGTTGATTCCTACATTAAAAAAAAAAAAAAAGAGACACAGAACAAAGTTAAAAATTTTGGATTAAGCTTCAAAGAAACCTCTCATTCTGTTGCTCACTGATGATTTACTACTACATACAAGTAGACTGCAGTATAAGCAGATTGCTGCAGAATAAAAGTGGACGTAAACCTTCTACCACAGCAAATAAATTCTACACCACAGTAATCAGATTTAGATTATAAGCAACGTGCCTCCATTTTGGCAAACACAAAAGTTTGAGCAAAAGCCTAGGAAAAAAAAAAAATTTGCCTTTTTCAGGGAGTTGTAAGCTTTGGTTTTATTTTAAAGAAAAATTACGTCTTGCAAATATCAATTCTTCAATGAGTCTCACTTCCAGAGAGGGGCACACTGACAAACCTCATGAATGTTATTTCTTTTTGACATAGCATTATTTACTAAGGCAAGGCACATGCATTTGTGCCACATTCAATCCTTTAATAGCCAGGTTTTATGGAAGAACCACCGGGGGGGGGGATGTGGGAGGATGATAGTGCACTTTGACACTCACAGTGACTGCACCGCACCAAACCATGAATCCTGTGGGGTAACGATTCCTCCCTTAACAACACTGGTATGTATGGCTTGTATGAAAACTGACTAGCAAGCAAATACTACTGTGGTATGTTGCATGGAAAGTTTCAGCTGCACATGAGCTGAAACACAGTGTTCTCCCAAAACCTGGGATATGATTCAACACGTAGTACTCTAGCAAAACTTTGGGCAAAGCTACACGGATTACCTTACACTCCCGCTTTACCTATTTTAGAATCAAGTCAACAATGGCTGATTTTGGGTGGGCAAAGCCTGAGATTAAAAAAAAAAAAGTACACCAGGTTATCAGATAGCACAAGGAAACCACCATGATCACTATTTTTAATAATAGCTTTGAACTATAGCTAGACATTGTATAGGCCAAAAGTAAAGACTGTCCTTAAAGGACATTAGTCCACTGAAGGCCAGATGGATCACTACTCTGGCAGTTGGCTCAACTGTGAGACTCTGGCATGAGTGCTCAGTTTCTCTTTAAAAATTCTTCCCTTAGAAAGGAACTGGAGAGTTGAGAGCAAAGATTCTTCACTGGAAAGTTGGTGAGCTGATGCAGGATCCCTGAAGGATGGCAGCCTACAAACATACAAAATTCTACTGTACCATACAGGCTGCAAGAGAAGACCAGCATTATTGGGTTTTAACTTGCAACAACCATGCCTAAAGGCATATGGCTAGTCAGAGCACAGAATCAAAAGATACTGCTCTATAGCCCTGATTTCTCATCATAAAACAAACCCACACAGAGACAAGAGCTTTAAGTTCTTGTTTTTATTAACTTTTGTCTCATCATAAATCACAAAAATTTAACAAAGGAAATATCTGAAAGCAGAGATAAATACTCCTACCTTTCCTAAATATTTAAGGCGCAGAGATGCATCAATACAAAAAGGTGTCCCAAACTCAGTGCTGTAAAGACTATTACTGTATGCTATATTCATGTTTGTATTCCACTTAAATTGAGAAGCTAGTGGGTTACATACTCCTATTTAGACATATACTATGCATGCAGTTATCTATGCTGGCTTTTTTTTCCTGTCCCTGCAGTTTAGGAAGCAATCCTTTATTAAGCCTTACACTAAAAGAGTTGAGCTCATTTTTCTCAGCCAAGTTATGGTGTGGGAAATCAATGTACCAATTTACAAAAGCAAAGCAAAGAAAGCACATCTTCTGCAGCATGAATTTGTTTTTAAACTCACCATCTTTAGCTTCTGATCTATGTCCCAGTTTAATCTGAAAAGAAAGATTTCATATTATATAAGGTTAAGCCATCTGCCTCAACAGTAGCAGATACATTCTTTAGTATTACTCTAAGACAGAATGAGTTTCAGTACCATGAAGCACTTTACCAGCTAGGATTGGGGCTGGTGGGTTTTTTTTTTTTCCCTTAAAAAAATAACTAGCTTAAAATTTTAAATAAAAAGCTTAAAATACAGCATTAGCTTTTATAAAAGCTTAAAAATAGTCATGATGGCACTGAAAACAGACATAATGCAAGCTGGTAGCATAAAATGCTTTGTAGCCACAAAACTTTATTATAACACTAATGAGCTTGTCCCCAGGGAGAAATGAGGGCAAAGTAATTGACAGTTGTCTTCGAATGATTCTAGGAAAATTAGCATACTCTGTAAACTTGGGCTAGCCTAAAGTCCTTCTGTCTCAATCATCTACTGCCCTGAAATTTTCAAGTCCAGAATCCTGCCAGTGATATTTCCAGATGATAAAAGTTAAGAAAAATATTGTGATACAAACAAGAAAGCTTTTCACAATAGCGGCTACTAGTAGCAACCATACAGGAAAAGTATTATAACGCTAAAAGGGATTAATATATCAAACAAAATTGCTTACTATTGTTATGGTTCAACTCATCTAGTAAAGTAGGCCCTTTAACTAACCAAAGTACCGGAATGTACACTTTTATCCCTCACAAAGCACAGCTAATCACCTATTTTTAATAGAAAAACTGCCTCAAATCTCTTCAGATAGTATGAAGTAAAACCCTGTATGACAACATAGGCATTTTCAGCATTTTTATTCGAACAGGTAAGTTGCAGATCTAATATCACTTTTGTAAAATTTTGTCAAAAACCTACCATCCATTCCAAAGAACTTAATCAGGAGTAACACTCCTGGACTAAAGGAAATCAGGCACAGCAAGAAGAAAGATTAAATAACCAGCCACTATCAAGGATTAATAAAGTCTGATGTTTGGAAATATGTGGCTTTTTAAAAAAAATAAATCTGTTTAACAGATAACCAAAACTTCAAGTTACAGACCATGTAACCCTTTAGAAAGTCAGAAACGTAGTAAGGCTGAAGCTAGTCTCTCTTCTTCGGGGGGTGAGGAGAAAGTATTAAAGACAGCTTAACTAGATCATTTAAACAAAACACTCTAGAAACAATATATTCTCCCATTACCCATTAAGCCGATTAAAAAAAAAAAATATTATTAGGCAAGTCAAGAGCAACCAGACACTTGATCACACAACACCAAAATATTCCGACACTCACCTTTTTAATAGCCACGATTCGGTTGGTGTTCTTATCCTTCGCTTTATAGACAGTAGCAAACTAAGGAGAACGAGAGAGGCTCCCGTGACCACGGGGCAGACAAGGCGCGTGCCAGCGCAGCCCTCCCCGGGCCCGGGACGTTGCCGTGGCAGAGGCGGCTCCCGA